CCCAACTATCAAAAGATATAGGGTCTGGGGTCTTAAAGGCTTGAAGATAAACAAGCAGCCATCTAGCTCAGACGCAACAAAGCCCACATGGAAGAAGCACCCCAGCCTATGTGATCCTGAGGTGTCAACAGCTTAATTTAGACAGCTTAGTCACTTCTAGCTCTACATGGGAGGGTGTCTTGTTCACTTTGTTAGCTGCCCTGGGGTGAGCTCTGACTCACAGGGATCCCAAGAACAATGGAGCAAAACACTGCCCAGTCCTGCTGCCTTCAGGACTGTTCCTGGTCAGCTCAAATCCATTGTGTAGCCAGTGAGTATTTTAAGTGTCACCCAACCTATGGGCCTATTCATTCAGCACTTTATCAGGCAGTATTCCGCCATAATCCATAGGCTTGTCATGGGCTAACTTTCTCAAAGAGATTGCTAGCTCTCTCTTCTTTGTCTGAAACCTATCCCCCAGGGACAAACATGCTGGTATTTGAAATACCTATGGCAGAGATTCCAGCATCATAGCAACTCACAAGCCACAACCATATGACAACCTGAACGATGGAAGGTGGGAACGTGAGTCTGTAGAAGTTATTTAGGCATCAGATGAGGATATAATTCCACCCTTCTCAGACCCAGCTCTCAATTGTGACAGTCTGATTCTGGAAGGTCTCCCACCCAAGCAGTGGCTTTTTCAGGGAATCCTAGAATACCGGGCAAAAGTCTTAAGACTCTGTCATCCAAAAACATAAACACAGTCTTTCTCCAAGCTCCCTCGTGGCTTTCTGCAACCCTGGGCCATGCAGCAGTCTTCCTAGCATTGAGCCATGCCCACAATGCATCACTGCCCACGGCCCTTTGCAATTTCCTCTAATTGGAAAGAGAAGGTGCTTGCAAATAAATCTACATGAAGACTCTGTAGACGTTCCTGTTCCCCCTGAATCCCTTACAGCTCTTTCTCCCACACTCAGCTTGACAGCAAATGTCTTGGTGACTCACCTCTATGGAGTCACTTCAAACTATTCCGCTTAGTTTCCCTAGAAACAAGCACACTGTTTCTTTCCACCTTCACATTATGGCAAGTTGTATTAAACTGTAAGTCAGCTTTTGTCCCTCTTCTGCTCAAGCCCTCCCCACCCCTATATGCGTGCCTACAAAGCCCCACACACTCTCTCCCCTGTCCATCCCTCTGACTTCATCGTCTGCTCTGTGATGGTATATGTTCCTGCCTCTCTGGCCTCCACACTGGCGCTAAGTCAATTCCAACTCATGGGGAAGCTGCGGGAGAGCGACCTGCCCTACAGGCTTTCCAAGGCTGTAAATCTGCAAGGAAGCAGACGGCCTCATCTTTCGCCCATACCGGTGACCCTGAGCTGCCCATTCATCAGTTAGCAGTCGAGCCCCTCAACGCACCATCTCAGATTGTCAAGCAAGAGCCCACTTCACCATCCGTCCGCTTGCTGTTCCCGCCCTCTGGAATTCTCTTCCCTGTTAAAGCCACAGAAATGAGCAATCTCACCTCTTTTAAGGTCAACTATCACCTTCTTAGTGAAGCTTTACCTATGACACTATTTGACGACATGAGGCTCAATCGCTACTTAGCCCACCTTTCATATCCCCTCCCTGCATCGTTTTTTCTTCATAGCACATTTATATGACCAATTTCATACAGCTTATCCATTAGAATTCAAGCTTTATCCGGGCAAGGGGTTTTTGGTTTTGTTTTGTTTTTAAAACCATTTGATTGGGAGCTAATACTGATACATCATTATCATTCCACAGTTCAATCACATCAAGCAGTATTGTACAATTCTCTTTCCTTTTGAATTCCTTGTTATCAGCTCCCCATTACCCACCCCCCTTTCCCGCTCTACCCCCCCGGAATCCTTCTTTTATTTGCTGTCACTATAGGTTCATCAATCCTGGGTTTCCTAGACTGTAAAACAGAAACACATATAACCAAAGCTCAAGCAGGTTAACCCCAATGACAAAACACATTTAAGATAAACCCCAATATGAGAAAAAATCAACAACAAAAACCAGAAAATGTTGAAAACCAGATCAGGCCCAAGATACATCAGAGTGGGGGACAAGAGCGGTAGGGGGGAATCAAATGACAGGGTTTTAACTGTTCGAGTCAGAGTTATCATTTTGATCTTCACAGTCACCTTCCCAATGCACTGTTTAGTCACTGCTGTCCTCACCATCCTCTCCTCCCTCTATTACAATCGAGGGAAAACACCACGGGCACAATCTCCTGTGTGGGTCCCATATATGTATCTTGGGCTCCCTCTGTCATCTTTAGCCTTCTGCAAACAAGAGCCTCACAATTCAGGCTCTAATACCATTCCCTCCTTCAGCTTCAGAGTATATGACTCACAATCCTTGAGTCACTGATGTTGGAGTGCTTCTTCCACATGGACTTAGTTGGCATCTCACTTAGATGGCTGTTTGTTTGGATAGCCTTTAAGAACCCAGACACTATTTTATCTGATAGCTGGGCACCATTTAATTTCTTCACCCCACTTTGCTATAGCAGGTAGGTGGTTTTGTCTATTAGCTTACTGACTTGTTCCTCCTGCTTAGAACAGCAGGTTCATAGTTGTCACTTAATAAATATTAGTTTAATTTTTACAGAAACAAACACTTGCCACCGCTTTAACTGCAAGGCATGGTTGTTCTGTGTGTGTGCAACAGAACTGTGCCCCAGAAGGTTCTCATTGGCTGACTGTGCAAGTAGATCTTCAGTCCTTTCTTCTGAAGTGTCTCTGCAAGAATGTGAACCTCCGGCCTTTCACTTAACAGCCGAGCACATTGATCTCTCACACTACCCAACGTGGCGCAGGTCAGCAATTCAACACCACCAGCTGCTCCATGGGAGGAAGATGGGGTTTTCTACTCCCACAAAGAGTTACCATCTCAGAAACCTACAGGGGCAGCTCCACCCTGTCCTACAGGGTCACTGTGAGTCAGAATTGCCTTGATGGGACTGAGCTTGAGTTTTCAGTGTTTACTATGGCAATAAAGATACTGCCTCTCGGAATGAATTGCACTATGTCAATAATCAGTATATTTGGCTCGTTCAGATTTATGCACACACATAACTGAGTCATGGTAAGCAAATAAGTCAGCTGGGGCTGGTCAGGAGTGTCTTGGTGCACTGAAGCACTGACAGCTAGTTGGAGCACAGTGCAGAGGGGAGCAACACTACCCAGTGAACGCAAGCTGGCTAGAGTCTCCCCGGCCATGTGATCAAACTTGATCTCTCCAAGAGACTGACCCTTTCATAACCAAGCACATAATAGCACCCGTTGTTGTTATTGGTAGCTACTGTCTAGTTGACCCCGACTCCTGCAGACCACCACCCTGACCCCGAGGGTGTGAGCAGAACTGCACTCTACTAAGATTTCAAGGTGGCGACCTTTATGAAGCAGACTGCCAGGACTAACATCCAACACACCTCTGGGCAGGACTCAGTCACCAACGTTTGGTTAACAGTTCAGAGCGTAACCATTTGTGCCACCTGGGGATTTGTCGATACCATAGAGGGCAGTCAGAGATGGCTACTTGTCTTTGGATACAGACAGAACAAACAGAAGACAAGCTGTTTTGTCCTGATCGGCTCCTTAATGGTCAATTACCTTCTCAAATATTTTCATCTCTCTCTTCCTTGGTTCTTCATTACAGTACAGGAGTGAGGACATGAAATAACATATGGCCTGCCTCTTTCACATATGCATGGAGTCAACAGAGATGAGACAATATTAAGAAATTATAAAACAGTTTGCACAATATGCTAGTCTCTTATAAAAACATGGGTAAGTGACTTGCCTACAATATATACACGGTTCTTCAAAACAAAACAAATCAAAACTGATGACTTATCATTAAGGCACTTTGATTAAAAAGTAGGTCCTAAAACATATTAAAGAACAGAGAGAAATATCGGCCTTTGAGGGCATAAAATGAGCAAAAGAAGGAAAATGGCTTTCACTTGATGCTTTCATAGAAAAATATATGGAAAACAAATATAGACATCTTCAGCGCAGTAACTGCATTATGTGAAGTTCATAATCAAGAATATTACTTCAAAAAGCGTCCACTTATCTACTTGGATAAATATCCAAGTCCACTTGGATATTTCAGATAGTCCTATTTTAACACCGCAAGGATAATCCAAGATGACTTATTAATAACATACATGTCAATAGTAGGCTGTGATGTAAATGAGCAAGCCCGCTCCAACCATCTCCGTTCTGTTTTATTACAGCATTTATTAAACCCAAATAACAAAGTGGTGAAGAATGACTTGTCACACAATTTATTAGAGTTGATGGAGTGTAGATAGTCTTTTCAATAAGGCTTTAACACACTGTTATGCACCACAGTACATTATTAATGGGAAGAAATGCATGAGACTTGCATCAGCTTTTCCCCCAAGTCATCCTGACATTAAATTCAAAATCAATTCCACCCCACGTGGCAAAGGTTCTGGGAGAAGATGTTAATTTGTTTGTTGTTTACCCAAAATGAAGTGCACCCTCCAGAGCAACCATCAGGAATTCTCCATATCCCGCTGACTTGACAATCACACTTATTTGGGAAAGAGGGAGGGGAGGGGTCCCAGGAAGCCACACACGCAACAGGAAGATAAACAACGTGTGCTCTGGTTCACACCTGACAAGAGAAAGCGATCTAATTTTCTCTCTGCGTGAAAGAACACTAAGGAGAGCCGGAATGCCAATCGTGGGCTGGGGCTGGGCGTCTGAACTTCTCTTCCCATACCCGAGTATCCAAATGGAACGAATTCACTCCAGAAAAGGTATTCCATAATTGAATGTGATTGTGCCAGGAAGAAAGGTAAGTCTCACACTGTGAAGAAAATAAGCATTCCTTACAAATGGTAGGGTCACCTCACTCACTCAGCAACCTCAATCTCACAAATGCCGCAACCGCGAGGAAGCATTTCACGTTAAAAAGGCACACATCCAAATCCCATCGGGGCCACCTACCTCCAACACGGAACCCTGATAGGCACAAGCACCTGTGGGTAGAAACAAAACAAGAATTAGCAGGAAGGCATGATCGAAGCAATAGGCACTGCCCCAGCAGGCTTCCAGCTAAAACTGCATCTAAACACATCAGCAGGTACAAACTGCTTTCTTTCCAAAATCCTCAAGGCATGAGTATTCTTCCCCTGGGAAAATAACCCCACACACCAAAGCATCATTTCTTGGGTACACATGAGGGAAGAACATGGCATTAAAACTTGGTATCTGAATTTTCAAACAAATGTATTACTAACAACATCCTATTAGCGCAGTGGATACTTTCCCCATGATAGGTCGGCAAAGCCTCCAAGAGCCGGTCTTAATTCACTGACTCGGGCTTATCGGCCACCCTTGGTTTACACACCTCACCGACCGAACCCCAGACACTGCCTAAGTTCATGGAAATACATTTTCCTGCCCCCATGTCTTTGCTCATTTTGGTTACGTCCAGGCAATGCATTTGGTCTGTTCAAGGTCCTCAAACTTGACCCTGCCTCTGTCATGAAGCTTCTGCAGCCCACTAGACAATGTTCTTCCTCCTTCATGAACATAGCCCTTTGTGCTTGTGTTTGTCACTTGAGAATCCATGCTAGCCTACTTCCTGCAACGTCCTTGCTAAGATTCTTGACGTTTTTTGCAGCTACCCTACAATACTACACTGTATACGCTTAGGATAGATCCGACATGTATTTCTTTGCCTTCCCACCTCGCATGCAGTACACATTTATTTAGGTATCTAATGGCTCAACACAAAATATCCATTTTATTCTTAAAAACTGTGTGCTCTTCTTAACAGAGAATAAGGAGCCCTGGTGACACCACGGTGAACCTGCTTTGGGGCTAACCAAAAGGATGGTGCTTCAAAGCCACCAGCCACCCTGAGAGGACGATGTAGATGACAGCCTATAAGAAACCTACGGGGCAGTTCTACCCTGTCCCGTAAGGTCATAGTGGGTTGGAATCAACTCTTGGGTAGTAGGTTTGGTTTGGGGAAGTTGGTGTCAGCTATTTAAAACATACATATATGTTTTAAATATATATATATTATATATATAATTTCTATATATAAATATATAAAATTATATATATATATATAATATATATAAATTCACTGCCGTCCAGGCAAGTCCAACTCAAAGCAAACTTATAACGACAAGGTGGAGCTGCCCCTGGGTTTCCGAGACTGTAACTCTTGGCAGGCCCCCTGGTGTGCTGGGTAGCTAACTGCAAGATCAGCAGTTCAAAATCACCAGCCCCTCCAAGGGAGGAAACTATTGCTCTTTGAAAAGAATTATTCAATAGAGTTCCCCTAATCGCTAAGACTCTTTTCATCCTCTTTCCCTTCCCCAGCATGGACTGCCCAGGAACTGGTATGTCTTGAGAGTGTTCATTCATTCAGTGTCAGGTGAAAAAACAACAGCATTGTTTCTAACTGGAAAAGAGGGGTATGAACATCTTGAGAGTTTTCATTCATTAAGTGTCAGGTGAAAAAAAAACAAAAAGCACTGTTTCTAACTGGAAAAGAGGGGTATGGCTGGGACAACTTAGATATTCTCAGTTCTGCACTCACTCACTGCCATTCTGACTCATGGTGGCCCTATCTGACAGGATAGAACTGCTCCTATGGATTTCCAAGACTAACTCTCGACTGAAATAAAAAGTCTCGTGTGTCTCTGCAGATCGGCTGTGGTTTTGAACAATGGACCTTGCAGTTACCAGCCCAGGGCATGGCCACTACACCCCAGGGCTCCTTCTAAAGTATCATAAATCTATGACGAGTTTCATATTTGAAAGCAATGTAGAAGCCTCCTTTTAAAAATATCTACACACTTTCACAATCCATTTTAGAGCAGCACAACAGGTGTCGATTTTACATTAAAACAGGTGGGCCGTGTGCTACTGGCTACTCACTCAGCAATTGAGGCTGCAGAACAGATGAATAGCACAGACCCGGCAAGGCAGCAGCAGGCCCTGACAAAGTGCCACAGTTGGTTTCCAAATAGATCATGCCTTGAGTCTCAAAAATATTAACTACTCAAGAACTGGCTGGTCTACCTTCTCCACTAATACTGAAATTAAAGAGAGCCTTTAGAACAGTGGTTCTCAACCTCCCTAATGCTGCGACCCTTTAATACAGTTCCTCATGTTGTAGTGATCACCCAACCATAAAATTATTTTCATTGCTACTTCATAACTGTAATTTTGCTACTGTTATGAATCGGGCAACCCCTGTGAAAGGGTTGTTCAACCCACCAAAGGGGTTGTGACCCACAGGTTGAGAACTGCCGCTTTAGAGGAAACCAATGGCTATTTACACTTGGCTTTGAATCAAAGGATCTCTGTGGGCAAATTTACTGAAAGGGCGCTTGTACACTTGACGTTCAAATAAAAAGGAATCTAGGATAAAACCTGTTCCGAAGACTTAGTGTTTCAAGATATGGTTTGTCATAAGAACGGGAAAATAAAAACATCTATCAACACAATTCCATTTCTCAACTCCTTAAATGTACATGCTTACTTATAGCTGATGCTGTGAAATGCTATGAGAAAGATCATTTTAGAGACCATTTAGCAAAAGTTAAATTTCAGGATAAACAAGCAAAATTTAACCTTTAGAATGAATTCGGCCATCTTCAGATTATGGTTCGCTGCCCTCCTCCATTAGCAAATCCTTCCCCAAAACAACTCCTTTTTTTCAGAGCTCCAAAAGAAATCACCCAGAAAGAATCAGGCAACCCATCCTAAAGCGGACTTTTTCGATGGTGAAGAGCCATTGTAAACGCACTGCAGTCTGGAAAACTAAAGCAGCATCAAGCGTGACAACACATGCCCACTCAGCTAAGCCAAGCATCTCCTAGAGCCACAGTCAAGTCAAACTGCCTGGTGGCCGCTGACAAATGCCATCATTGGGAAAAAGAAATAACTCAGTTTGGGTCGCTCTTTGGTGTATCATTCCAAAAGAAATCAGCCTGACCCTAAGAGCTTTCCGAAAACAGAATAGTTCTACCCGGAAGGCACGCTGTCCAGCAGTCTCCATTAGCAGAGTTTCCGAAACCTCATTTCCACTCTCCAGAGAAAACAAAGCATTCCAGTGCGATGCCCAGTCCTATCAAACATTTATCACCAGCCAACGCCAGGTGCGGTCATCCGGGGAAGGCGGAGCCCTCCCAACTCGGCCCGCACTTCACACCCACCACCAGATGACGGTGGGAGTGTATGGGTGCTGGGTGGTGGGGGAAGCTCTGGCTCAGCCAGGTGGTTCACTTATCAATCCCTTTCATTTCATATGGAAACAGAGGGACCCTCTCCATGCCACACATCATCATGTTTTGGTTTGGGTTTTTTTTTCCCTGAAAGAACACTGGAATGGCTGCACTCTGACTGAGGTTTATATTTAGGGCTCCATTTGAACTTTAAAGGAAGTGTGGTGCCAGGTGAATACTGGGAGATGCTGCAGTTCCCCAGTAAGAAACAAGCCTTCTCTAGGAAACACACATCGTAGCCAACTGGAAGTGGGGGTTCTCTGGCCAAGGACTTGGCAGATTTCACAGCACAAAATGCAACTGAGGTGTTAGGTAAGCTCTAAGCCCCGACAGCCAGGGGAGAAAGGGCATAGGAAAGTTCTGCAGAGTGAAGCATTTAAATACTACACCTGAGGACGAGGAGCTAAGACGTGTGGCTTGCTCATCTCTTGCAGGTCTCTTAAGAGCATGCTCTTAAGAGCATGACAACATGCTCTTAAAAAAACCGACCCTCACTGCCATCCAGTCCATGTCGACTCCTGGCAACCCTTAAGAACAGAGCAGACCTGCCCTGTGAGTGTCCAAGTCTCTAACTGCTTACAGGAGTAGAAATCCCCCCTCTCCCTCAAAGCGCCTGGTGGTTCCAAATTGCTGGCCTTCTGGATCACAGCCCAACTCTTAACCACTACACCACCAGGGCCCCTGACAACATGCTACTCATTATCTTAAACAATGTCTGCTTGTATGTCCTTTGGCCCCTTGTAATGCACTCCCTTATCAAATCTAATCTTTTCCAATAAATCCGTTTTCTAACACTTCCAGAGAAAATTAATCATTTGCCAAACTCAGTGCATTGCCACTACATCCATTTCAACTCCTATCGACCTATACTGCAATTCTCAGACTGTAACCCTGTATGGGAGCAGACAGCCTCATCTTTCTGTCATGGAGCGGCTGGTGGATTTAAACCTTTAACCTTGCAAGGGTTAACAACCCACTACCTAACTTATAGTGCCACCGGCTCTTCTACCGCTTTCCCACCGAAGGATGACTAGTAAACGGAATGAACTGGGGAAGACACATCCAAAAGTTACATGTCAGGCTCATTAGTCCAAAGAAACAGTGGCGGATATGACTATGGTTTGAAGAGCTCTGGAGAGCACAGCATGAGAAAAACATGACTCATTAGGAACACGCAGCCACAAGTTGGCACTTAAATGTTTAAGCTTTTCGTAGTGTTATAATTCAACATATGGCCGTGGGCACTACGGAATAGTTAACGTAGAATCATTTCCTGGACTGATAGGACAACTCAGGTCCTGATTATTGCCAACCTGGATTCAGATCAATTAATCGAGTCATTAAAATGAAAATGGGCCAAATGTTTTTGAACTCTGGGAAGATTTGGCAAGCTGCTCCAACTCTGCCATGTGGTGGATCCCACCCCTCTCTGGAGCCATGTGGTGGGTCCCGCCCCTCTCTGGAACCATGTGGTGAGCCCCACCCCTCTTTGGAGCCATGTGATGGGCCCTGCCCCTCTCTGGAGCCATGTGGTGGAGAGTAGCTGATGACTACTTGTGTCTGAGGAAAGCTGAGTGCTCCTGCCACCCAAGTTCATAACGGTGAATATGGATGGCTGTATCCGCACTGAAGGATGGGTATGGGGAGGGTTAACTTCCAGAATCCATTCCCCAGAGAGGAATGTAAATATATCATAATGGCATTAAGAACTTTATGACAATACATCATCA